GGGCAGGTACCTGGGCGGGGCGCGCCGTGGTTGGCGGCCGGCGGCGGCGGACCCGGCACCCGGAAGAGCCGCCGACTCCGCGAGTGCAGCAGGGGGCTGAGCGGGGCTGCGTCGTGTGGACCCGGCCCGGGATGGACAAGCTGAAGAAGGTGCTGAGCGGCCAGGACACCGAGGACCGGGGCGGCCTGGCCGAGGTGAGCGCGCCCCGGAACCGTGCGGGACTTCCAGGCTTTCCTGGAAAGCCGCGCCGCGCCCGTGCGTCCTCCCGGCGGCGGGCCCCGCGCTCCCCGCGCCCCTGCAGGTGCCGCATTAACGACTGAGCCACCCAGGCGCCCAAATCTATTATTTCTAGGGGAGGAATAAAGACAAAATCCATTTGCCTCTGGGGAGTAGGAAATGTTCTGCCTTTGGACACAGGCAAAGAACCATTACTGTTGGAGAAGAAGTACAAATAGCCTCCAACCTTGGAGGAGGGACAGAAAAACCTGGGCCCAGGATCCTACATGGATAACAAAAAGATCTGCTCCCATGGTGGGATGGGCATGAAATTCACACAACAGTATAATGCACACTGTCTTCAAGTGAATACAGAACATTCACCAAGGGAGAGAATATTCTAGGCCATAAAACACTTGAAGTCATATGAAGTTTGTCCTCTGACCCTAACAATTAAGCTAGTAAAACCCAGTAACAAAAATATCTGGGAAATCCCAAATAACTTACCATGAGAGAAATTAAGGAAGTAAATGAGTAAATGGAGACAAATACCATGTTTGTAGAATGAAAGACTCAAGATGTTAATATGCCAATTCTCCCTGGATTGATCTATAGTCAGTGTAATCCCATTCGAAATCCTAGCAGGCTTTTCATTAGAAACATATAAGATGATTCTAAAATGTATATGGAAATCCAAAGAATCTAGATAGCCAAAACAATTTTGTAAAAGAGAAAAGTTAGAGGATTCAAATTACCTGATTTCAAGACTTAGTCTAGAGCTACAGTAATCAAGACTGTGGCAACTGTTAGGATTGACATAAGGATCACTTGAACAGAATAGTGAATCAAATTGACCTACACTGGGACTCCTGGCTGGCTCAGTCTGAAGAGCATGTAGCTCTTGATCTTGGGGTTGTGAATTCAAGTCCCATGTTGGGTATAGAGATTATTACAAATAAATAAATAAACTTAAAAAAATTGATTTACACATATATGTTTGATTGATTTTGAACAAGACACAAAGATAATTCAATGGAGAAAGGACAGTCTTTTCAACAAATAGTACTGAAACATTTAGACATTCACATGCAAAAAAGTGAATCTTGAACCTTACCTCACACCATGTACAAAAATTACCTCAAAATGAATCAGAGACCTCAATGTAAAACTTAAAATTAAAAAGGTTGTGGAAGTAAACCAGAAAATCCTAGGCACTTGGGGAAGGCAAAGATTTCCTCAATAAAACACAAAAAGCCCTAAGCATAAGAAAAAATCGATAAAATGGCCTTCATTAAAATAAAAAAACTCGGGGCGCCTGGGTGGCTCAGTCATTAAGCGTCTGCCTTTGGCTCAGGTCATGATCCCAGGGTCCTGGGATCGAGCCCC